TTTTTTTTATAAAATAAATTTTTCACATGTGAAAATGTGCGCTTTTTACTCATAAAAAAATCCATTCTTTCGTTTCTTTTCATGTTGAATAATTGTTTATAGAGCATTACAAAGTTTAATAGTATGGCAACGACATGTTGCTTGAGTGATTTATGTTTCGTCTTTTCCTACATAAGTCGTTAAACATCAAACCAACAGCTTTTCTAAATTCTCGCATTACCGACATAATCGTATTAGCTATTTATCGTGAAATAAAGAAAAACAATCCTAACAATACTCTTAATTATTTAGTCTCTCTCAAACTCATATTACCCTATTTTCTATCAATATGACAAATAATTTCTTTCTCATTTAGTTAAGTTACTGTTTGGTGATTAGAATCCTTCATGGCTACTATTCATCATATTAAATGAACCATTTCATTTCAGATTATCGCAATCAATTCCACTTTCATATCATACTAATATTAAATCTTATAAGATTACAGCAGCTATTACTATCGTTACATATTAATATTTTATTCAATTGATGGCATCATCTATATTAAAAACTATGCAAAATCAACAAAGAACATCAATTGTTAAATTTTGTTTTCTAATCCTTATATTCGTTGTTTGTTTTGTAATAAGTGTTATTATTAGTTCAGGCCAGAATCAAACAAAAAGTAAAGTAGAGCAGCGATCCACACCTGATAAAGTGAAAATCAAAAACTTATTTCCTCATCACAATTCAACTCATCTTTGGTCCATGCCTTTTGCTGATGAAAAGTATTTTCAATTAGCACGTCTTTTACCATGTCGTTCTATTAATTATACCGGTGGACCAGGAGTGAATCAAATTAATTCATGTGATTATTCATCGACGAATGAGTTTTCAGTAGAAAATACACTGAAAACACAAAAATGGCTCTATGAACATCAACATCCCACTAATTGTACAAATAAACGTTTTGCTATTATTCGTACATATGCCTTGTCTGGTTTTGGATCAACAATTCATCAAGTTGTTTGGGCATTTGGTGCAGCATTAGCACAAGATAGAATTGCTGTTTATGAAACACCAGGAAATTGGGTAAGATAACGTGAAATAAAAAAATTAAAATTAGAACACTCGTATGTATTCATGTGACTGAAACTTAAAACGTTTTGAATGAAAAAAAAATGTTATTAGTTCTAAACCATACCGATATATTTAGATGAGATTATCATAGCTATATTCTATGTGTAATATTTTTTATATAGTAACTCTTTCAGGAAGATTATGTTAGTTTTGTTTCAAACGTTTGATTTAGTAACTGATTAATTTATTTGAGAGAAAAATATTCGTACTATTGTTACTGAGTAATAATATCTTTTATACATTTATCCATTTTTAATGGTCATTGAAGAAACTTTTATTTAAAGGTTTTCTATTATAAGATTCTATACGCTGTTATTGACAATATTCCTAAATTTTATCAATTTTTTCTGTATTAATTAGATAACATCTTTTTGAGAGGGATCAAATATCTATCATGATAGTTTTATAATAGTCTTCAGTTGTAGTTCTCATGCCCTATTGTTAGTAGGTGATTTATTTGCAACCGTTTTCTAATAAGACTTCTGATTTTCAAGAAGTTCAAATCGATTCATCTGTAAATACGGTGTTGATGAACACACATTTTTATTGACGATATTCTTAAAAAAAGTTTATCAAGTAGATCATTTCATCCTTCAAAGTACATTGCTTTTGGAATATTCTACATTATACAGGACAAGAAAGTCTTTTCTAATTGAATTTATATTTTAGTTATATGGAACTTGCGGTTCTGGTACACCTAATTGTTTTTTTTCTTCCAATATCAAATTGTTCAATACCATCTAAAGTTGATGGGAACCAAACAATTCATATTAATGCTGATGTGGGTCATTGGTCTAGTCCTGTTCATCCACCTATATTTCAAAATCGAACGTTTAATTGGTTTCGTGTACAATTATTATTTTATTTATTACGATATAAACCTGAAATATTAACTCATGCGCAAAATACTATTGCACAATATTTCAAACCATCTTTAATTGAACTTCATCATCCATTCATTGCTCTCTATGTTCGTCGATCAGATAAAGTGACTAGTAGAGAAATGTCCCAAGTATATTCTCTAAAACAATATTTTGATTTATTTGATGCTGATGCTCGAAAAGCTAATATAAGAAATATTTATATTAA